ATATATACCAAAGCTTATACCTTTAGTTATTTTATATATATACATTTATCTATTGTAAGGTTTATTGATATATACCTTAGAAAGAAAGAGATTATTGAGAAGTCTTATGATATACAAGTGGTGATATAATGAGTCAATTACACTCTAATCCTGACAACAATAATGCAGTATTAAATATAGATAAATATATACTAGACATACTGAAAAATGGCAAATAAGTGACGAAAGTTTAATAGTCTAGTAAAAAGACGTAATGTATAACATTGCAAAAAGAAAGATTGAGGCATATGGGTTGTCTTTGATCAATTTGCACATATAAGTAGTATCTTGTAACCTTTAGGCGATTTATACTCCATTATTGGGTATAATGATAAAGCTATATATTTTTCTAAATTGATTGAGCGCAGTTTGTTATGTGTATTCTCTCAATCATATTCCATATAATTAATACTAATATTATAAATAATACTAACTCAGACCATCTGAACAATAATAAAATACTATCTAGAACAGTGTAGCTACTAAAAAGAATAGTAAAGTATTATATAATTAATGAAGGCTCTACTACACCTCATAGATTCATATAGTTCATTCCTTTTACTCATTTGTAACCATGTTCTTATTTCAAGTAGTCATTGTGTAATCATATAATATATAACTCGAATAGAGTACCTAGTATATGTTATTATTATTTCTATATGATATAATATAATAAAGAAGTTAATGCCTCTGGTACATTTTGATATACATCATATTTGCTAGGATAAACACCTCAATATGAATACTTATATATACTAACTAAGTCCTATACTCAATAACTTAGTAAAATATATCGATGTCTACCTGTATAATATACATGTTATCAATTAACTTATTGCTGATATTAATATATAATGCATATATAAATTCTCATATATTGTATATTGTACTTCTATATTATATGATATGATATTAATTTTACTGTAATAAAATCTACCTCATATCTAATATAACTGTTACTATATGATTATATACTTAAGTATATATTTCACATAGTGTTATTTAATATATCTATCTACTGTAAGATGTAAATTATATATGTTTGCCTTGTAGTAATTATGTGGTCGTATACATGTGCTCATATTTGACAACTATTGTTTGGATATTTAGTACGTACATGTGTAGTCATATATAATGTACTATTTCAAATATTATTCTATTCAGATTATATTGTATATCCATTATATATTAAACATATATAATTATTATATTTATACTATTATATATGATACTTTCAGATAATATATATGTTATTATAACTCAAATTTATATACTCCTCTGAACCATACTACATTCTAATAAGTATTTATGGTGTATACTATATATCATGTGCTGTGTGTATCATGAGTATAGTATCCTAGCTTCATACTATCCACGTGTATTACCTCTCATACTCCAGCCTTCCACACCAAATTTCTATTTCGACTTAGTATGTACTTACACCTGTGCTAATTATAGTGATGTGTTGCATGGTACTATATATAATACTAATATATTACTGCTATACCTCAACACTATGTCATATAATATATAGTATATAGTAATATTTCTACGGTCAGCTAAGTGTATTATGATATATATGTTAGTGACCACTAGTATTTTGGTAGTTAATAGTAGCAAGATATGAAGTTGATTATGAAGTAATATGTATCGTATTGCTCATATCATCATATAATAATATATTCATCTTGTGACATTCATAATGATAATATTAATATATGTAATAAAAATAACTAAAGTATTAATACCAATTATATCATATCCTAATAATATCTTAATGTATATTATATATATCTTCATCTATTAATAAGTAGACTAATAGTATTAAACAATTGCACTTCAATTATCTTAATGAAAATATTATTCAGCAATATCAGATCACATTTAAATTAAAACATACACTTTCACTTATAAGGTTATTACATACTACATATTTTTTAATATAATAAGTAACTTTTTTCCCAGTAAAAATATGAATCGCTGAATGGATGTTAATTTTAACTATATCTAAGTAGATATCCTCTAAAACTCATAAACACAATCCCTATCTAAGATATAATTATACATATGTTAATTAATTATGTACAAGTGTATATACATATATTATTAATTAATATATTATATATATATATATATATTATATATAATATATATATTACAATATATAATATATATACATACATATATACATTATACATATATATACATATATAATACATATAATACATATTAATATATCATATATTATATATTATATATATAATATATATATAGTATATATATATATTTATACATATATATATAATATATATACTTATATATATACATATATATATCTTAGATAGGATATCTGATTGAATCATGTAAGAATAACCTTCAGAGTTCATTTTTAATGAAAAAGTTTTTCTGAAAACTGTGTGAAAACCTTTAAGGCATGATTTTTTGAATTTGGATCCTTATT